AGTGCAGGCCAGCGCTTCCAGCAAGCCGCAGGCTTGGGCTGAAAACCCAGAAGTCCTTACTGCATGTCCATGGCCGCCCAGTCTCCCCTGGCCTCAGATACTCAGCCTCTCTCCCTCCAGGTCCTCTGCCCTTGGGTACATGGGAACATCCATGGAGCCACTTAGGACTGACCGCAGTGGGGGAAGGGGGCTCAGGCTGCAGGGCCCAGGTGACAGGAGCTCCCAAGGAAGGAGGCCAGGGTCAACCAAGGTCACAGCGAGTCCCTACCCCCCCCCCCCATGCAGGTCTGCGAGGGCTGATGATTGCGGTGATGATGGCTGCGCTGATGTCATCGCTGACCTCCATCTTCAACAGCAGCAGCACACTCTTCACCATGGACATCTGGAGACGGCTGCGGCCTGGAGCTGGCGAGCGAGAGCTGCTGTTGGTGGGAAGGTATAGTTGGTGGGGGTGGAGGGGACCAGCCATAGGATCAGCTCCTTGAGGCTTTGAGGGATGCATAGAAGTTTGAATACCAGGATGGGAGGGAGAGAAGAGGCCATACTGTCCATTCTACCTCCCACCTCCCACACTGGCCTCCATTACTTCTGCTGCCAATTCCTCCTGGCCTTACTTATCCCTTCTGTATTCAGCTCAAAGGTCTCTTTGCATGCAGGCCTCCTGATACCTCCAACCAAGAAATTATTTTTTTCCTGTGAGCAGCTGGCCTGTGACTCTATCTCCATACCCACCTGGGTGCCCGGAAGTCCTTGCATGTGGATGACGAAGGCTGGTGTCGCTGACTGTGCATTTGTGTCTGTCTAAGCCCCTCTGCTTTCTGTCTACACTGCCTCCCTCCTAGCTATGTAGCCCTCAGCCCCCCAGTGGAGGTGGGGACCCCGCTGGGACTGGAGTAACGTCCTGCAGCCAGGAGCCCAGGGTGTGCTGTCCTCAGGGTGAGGTCTCCCAGTGATGCAAACCAGCAGCTTCCGTGGGAGGGCCTTGTTGGGACATGCCAGACGGCAGACAGGTGTGAGCTCATTTGCAGTCAGGGAGCCTCGGCCTCCCAGTGCAGGGCACTTTCCGTGTCTGCCTGGCTCTGGGCATGAGACTGCCTTGGCCTTCAGATGCCCCTGCCTCTCCTCTCTATGGCCCCGGGACGCTGCCCTTCTCCCGTCTTCCCAAGCTCCAGGGTCCTAGGCCCTGGATCTGCCACCCTCTAGGCCTGGTCCCTCTGACCCTAGCTCCTGCCTGGGGCCATGGCTCCCTGACCTGCCCAGAAGCAGACCTCTTCCCTGCTCCTACCATCTCCTCAAGCTATCTCCCACATTGACCTTGATCTTTCTTCCTTTCCCCACCCTATCTGCCCCCAGGCTGGCCTAGTCTTCAGCTCAGGGGCCCCAGCAGCTCGGGCCAGTGTTATTAATGACTTCATTTCCAGGTTCTAACCTTCACTAGCTCCAAGGTCCTGCCTTCTGTGCCTGCTGTCCCCTTCTGTCTCCTCCCTGGACCCTGTGTCCCGCTGGGCAATAGAGGATACCGAGATCTCTCAGGCCCCTCCCCTAGGCTCCCTTCTCCAGAGGTAGGATGGGACTCGTTCCTCCTGACCTGAGGCGGGGGCCGTGCCATGGGGCTCCTTGGAGACTGGGGGTATTTGCCACAAAGGAAGTGGAGTAGGGTAGGGTGCCCCAACAGCAGGAGCAGCCTCTGGGCCTGGGGGCACCTACACACACACACACACACACACACACGCGCACACACACACACACACACACACACACGCGCACACACACACACACACACACACCTGGGTGGTGATTGAATCAAAGGGGCAACATGCAGGGCAGTAGCAGGGGGGGAGAGGGCCCAGGCCAGCCTGGCCATGGACCCCCCACCCCCCAGCTGCTGCCAGCAAAGATGCTGACTGTGGTGTTGGAGGGCGGGGTAGGCCGTGTTATTGGAGGCTGCCTGGGCCTTTGAAGAGGCAGCCCTGCCGCCTGCCAGGCTAAGGGTTAATTAGCCTTAATCAAGGTGGCACCTCCTTCCCCCACCCACTCCCTCCAGCCTGAAAGGGAAGAAAAGAAAGGGAGGCAGGTACCTGCACATGGCCTGCCACGTGGGGGTCGGGGGAAGACACAACACCCCTACCTCACTCCCTTAGTGATCAGAGGTGCCAAGTGGCTCAGGACACCAGTGAGGGGCTCAGTCAGGGAGGAGTTGAGCTCTTGTGGAAACTTCTCTGGGTTCCACATCCCTTCAAGGTCCTGAGGGCCTCCTCCTGGAAGTCCTCCTGGATTCACACTTCCTCTGAGCTCCTCAGCCCAGACCTGCTCTGGGGACAGGTTGACCAGTTGACTTTGCTATACTGCGAGATGGTGGGTGCTAGAGTGTTCAGCTGAACCAGAATGCCCAGTGCTCCGCCATTCTTCCCAGGGGAAGGGAGGTGTGGGGGCAGTCCCAAGGGGGAGGGAGGGGGGCAGGGAGGTCTCAGGCAGGGTGGGGATGGTTCCCCTCGCTGGATAGAAGGGCTCAGGCTTTGAAGTTGAGGAGTCTAGGCAGTGACTCTAGCCCAGACAGTTTGGCTCCCAAGCCTGGCATTCTCAAGACAGAGCTTGCTCTGAAGTAGATGGAGGGCGAGAACAGTGCTTAATGTAGAGCCAGTTCCTGCTAAGGCCTGGCAGCATCAGAATGCATGCTGTGCTTAGAGACCCCGCCAGAGGGATGTCTGGCCGGGACATGAGGACAGCAAGTGGTTCACATTCACACAGTCCCCATGTGCCACGAGCTCCCACGGTGTGCCACAGCTCCCGTCCAGTGACACGTCCCCATGGTGCCACAGGCTCCCAGTGTATATGGTGAGAGTTCCCACCGTACGCTGGAAGGGGGAAATCCTGCCCTCTTTTGGCTTCCAGTCTCAGCTTGGGTGGATCAAATGGAGACCCCAGGAGCTGTGTGGGAGGGGGGGGGGGCGTCCTTAAAAGGCTGATTCTGCAGGATCCCGTAGAAGGAGCGGTACAGGCGGAAGGTTCAGGGGTGCAGACTCTGGGCCAGTTACAGGTATAGTGGGCTGGGGCTGGGTACAACAGGTGACCAAGGGGAGGAGGAATTGCTGAGGAGGGGTCTTTGGCACTGTCCATCTGCAGGCTGGTCATCGTGGTCCTCATCGGTGTGAGCGTGGCCTGGATTCCCATCCTGCAAGGCTCCAGCAGCGGGCAGCTCTTCATCTACATGCAGTCTGTGACCAGCTCGCTGGCTCCCCCGGTGACCGCAGTCTTCATCCTGGGCATCTTCTGGCAGCGTGCCAACGAGCAGGTAGATGTGCAGTGCAAGACACGGGTGGGGCTCAGTCAGAAGGGCTTCTGACCTCCTCCTGCCAACGCTCCTCAGTCCCTCCAACCCTGCCCCTGTGCCCAGGTCAGGATCTGGGGTCCTGGTCTTCTTCCCACAGTTCCTCACACTGGCTTCCTCTTCCCCAGGGGGCTTTTTGGGGCCTGATGGCTGGACTGGTCGTGGGCGCTCTGAGGCTGGTCCTGGAATTCCTGTACCCCGCCCCACTTTGTGGCCATCCGGACATGAGGCCAGCTCTCCTCCAAAACATCCATTACCTGCACTTCGCTATAGCCCTCTTCCTGCTCACTGGTGCTGTCATGGCTGCTGGGAGTCTTCTGACCCCGCCGCCCCAATACACTCAGGTGAGCCTGCCCTGACCCCCAATCCCTGACCCCTACATTGTCATCCCTGTCCTGCACTCGAACCCTAACAATTTCTAAATCAGGTCCCATTCTTTTTTTCTTTTCTTTTCTTTTTTTTTTTGCCAGTCATGGGGCTTGAACTCTGGGCCTGGGCACTGTCCCTGAGCTCTTCAGCTCAAGGCGAGCACTCTACCACTTGAGCCACAGTGCCACTTCTGGTTTTCTGGTGGTTTATTGGAGATAAGAGTCTCATGGACTTTTCTGCCCAGGCTGGCTTTGAACTGTGATCCTCAGATCTCAGCACCCAGCTCAGGTTGTTGTTGTTGGTTGTGGAGCCTGAACTCTGGGCCTGGGCGCTGTCCTTCAGCTCTTCAGCTCAAAGCTAGCACTCTACCACTTGAGCCACAGTGCCACTTCTGGATTTTTCTGCTTATATGGTACTGAGGAATCGAACCCAAAGCCTCATGCATGCAAGGCAAGCACTCTACCACTAAGCCACATTCCCAGCTCCTCAGGTCCCATTTTAACCTCTGAATTTCTCTGACTCCAGACTCTTCTAAACTTTCATCAAGCTCTGATCTCTGTCTCTTTTGAGACTGACTTCCTCTTTCTGTCACTGTCCCCTGCCCCTGTCTGGATGCACCTTTGTCTCATCCCCACTCCTTCCTAACAGATTGAGAACCTGACCTGGTGGACCCTAGCTCGGGAGCTGTCCCTGGGAGCCAAGGCAGGCAAGTGGGCAATCCCTCACTTCCACCCCAGGGCTGGGATGGAGTCAGAGGAGCCAAGGGTAATCTTTCCTCTCCCATCTGTCCCTCCTCAACCCTCTCCAGGGAGCAACCCAACACCCCAGAAACACGCTTTCTGGGCTCGTGTGTGTGGCTTCAACGCCATCCTCCTCATGTGTGTCAACATCTTCTTCTATGCCTATTTCGCCTAACACTGCCACCTGACAAGAAGGTGGAAGCCTCTGTCCTCGGGGACAGGCTGACGATGACCCCCACAGCTTCACAGCAGGCCAGTGCCCAGCAACTGAAGGAACTCTGAAAACAAAGCGGGGAACTGGGAGAACACAAGATAATTCTGACATTCCCACCTTGATCTCACAGCTTGTTGTTTTTGGGTTTTTGTTTTTGTTTTGCCAGTACTGGGGTTTGAACTCGGCCTGGGCACTCAAGGCTCTACCATTTGAGCCACAGCGCCACTTCTGGCTTTTTCCAAGTAGTTTATTGGACATAAGAGTGTCATAGACATTTCTCTGGGCTTTGAACCACCATCCTCAGATCTCAGCCTCCTGAGTAGCTAGGATTGCAGGCATGAACCATCTGTGCCTGGCAGTTTCACAGTTTTTATTTTAAATACAAGGGCAGAAGCAGGGGTTAAAGAGTCTTGGGTTTCATCCTGGACCAAGGGAGAACCCCACATTTCTATAGTCAAGGCGCTTCAGCCATCTCTGGAGTCTCCCTCTTCCATCTTGCCTCTCTCCCTTCTTCCTGCTCATATCAGCCTGGCATTCAAGGCTTTCCCTAGTCCACTTCCATTTTCCTGCTTCCAAAGGTGCCCAGGCTCTGGGCAGGGGCTGGGTCTCTCAAGATCCCTTGCTGGCTATAGGTTCCCTTGGATGTCCTGCCTTTGCTCAGGCTGGGCCCCTACCTAGACTTCCTGTCCCCTTGGTCTCATTGAGCCTCCAAAACTCAGCCCCAGTCCCAGTTTCCCATCTAACTCTCCGACTGCCGTCCTCCTGGAATGCCCTCTGGGGCCTGGTCTGGGCAGAGCCCTATTAAAGGAAGTGAGTGCAGCCTCATCTCCCATATGGCTGGTCCAGAGCTGGGCATGCCCAGCAGGGACCATCATGTGCCTCCTCTTCTAAGGCTCCCCACCCCCAAACCCCCAAGGCATCTGTGGGGGAGGGAGGGAGGGTGTGTGTGTGTGTGTGTGCGCGCGCGCGCGCGTGTGTGCCAGTTACTCCAGGTGGAGCCCAACGTGGGGATGCAGGAAACTGTAAAAACCAGGGTCCTCAGGCCCAGCCAGCTAGGAGTCTTCAAACCTAGGTGGGAGGAGCCACGGGGGAGGGGCCTATCGTTGAAGGCGGGGCTTTAGAAGATCCGTCCGGTGATGTCACAAGCCAGCGCCCAATAGGAAGCGGCCAGCCAGGAAGTCCCCCAATAGGAAGCGGCCAGACAGGAAGTCCCGGGCGTGCTGCGCGGCCACGTGGTCGCCGAAGGCCGTGGCGGTCCCGTGGCTGGCGGCGGCGGCGGAGGCAGGTAGGGACCCCCATTCAGTCTGAGGCCGTGCGGGGCCCGGGAGGCTGGGGTGGGATGTCACAGATGCACCGGCTGCACGTAGCTGCGCGGGAAGAAGCCCTCGTGCCCGCCCGCGCGGCCCCGCCACCAGTGGGGGTCGGGCCGCTCCAGGACCTCGAGGATGTCGCCGCGGCGGAAGCTGAGTTGGGAAGGGTCCTGTGCCGAGAAGTCGAACTGGGCCTGGGCGAAGCAGGTCCGGGGCGGCTGCAAGGGGAGGCCGCGGTGAGTGGGCGCCCCCGAGGCCTAGCAGCCCGCCACCCCCGACCCCCCCAGGAAGAGCCTGGGGTACAGTGGGTGACAGCGGAGGGCGTCTCAGGACGGCACCAGGGCTGACCAAGCCCAGGCCAGGGATGGCTGCCCACACAACTGTATCCGCATGGCCTGTGTGCCTCCCAGAAGCCAAGGCTATGTGGGCAACAACCCGGCTTCCCAGGCAGCGCAGCCGGGGCCACCGGCCGGTGGGTGAGGGGTGGCATCCTGGTCCTTAGGGTGTGATTTTGGTGAGGTGCTGAATCAGACATGGTAACCTTGATACCAGGTATGGCACCACAGCAGCGGGCTTTATACACGGCAACGTGATTCTGCTAGAAGCAGAATCTGTGTTTGCTGCTTATATTGCCCTCCTCAGATTGGGGGGGGGGGGGGAGCACTGTATCTCCAGGTGTCTCACCTCTCGGGCCTGGGGTCTAGGCCTCCCTGTGCTTCAGGTGGGACTTTTGGCTATCACTGTCCTTTAGGGGTCTGGTTTCCTCCCAGGCACACACAGCTCAGCAACTTTCTGCTGCACAGGGCCCAGCCTGCCCCAGGTCAGCTGGGTGTGTGTGGGGGGGGGGAGGGTCTCAGCTCTGAGCCTGCAGAATGCTATCCTCCAGGATGCTGATAGGATCATCAGAGGCTCTGTAATTAGGGGATCTCTACCCAGGAAGGAGGAGGCGGCAGTTGTGAGTCCCAGAGGAATGAGCCAGCACTGGATGGGTAACGCCAGAGCCCAGCACCGGATACAGCACTAGCCTCAGTTGGCCCCTTAGCTCCATCCTGGCTTTGGCACCCTTTTCCAGGGTAGAGCCGGCCCCTGAGGGGTAAGTGGGTGGATGGAGTTCTGGGAGAACAAAGACCCGGCTGGGGGAAGGGTCTTCCTGGAACTGGAAGCTCTCAGGCGACTGGGCTCCTGACTGTGGGTCAGACACAGGAGGCCCACAACGGGTGTCCTAGTAGGGGCTGGTCAGGTAGTTTGCCTCTCATGGCAAATCAAACCCCCGGAGCTCACTGTGTTGAGCAGAGGGGAAACTGAGGCCTGATTGAAGGTTGGACCAGCCCTCAGGTCACACAGCAAGGCGCTTGAGAGACGGGAACATAGTAGGGCTGGACTTTCACTGTGGCGTTAGGCAGCCTCCTCCTGAGCTCCTGGAACACTCTGCAGAGCCCCAGTTCAAATGTCCCGAGGTCTTGACCCAGGCTTTGCCAGCACCCCTCTTTCCAAGGAAAACAGTGAGCTGGGGCTAATAACCTCATTGGCCGCTGCCATCATTATAATGAGAGTGAGAGCTGGTCCCCGGGGGAGCCTTGATGAAAGGGCTGGTTGGTGGCAAATTGCTGTTATTGTGAGGCTGAGGGGTGGATGGATCCCTCCACACCCTGTTCCCAGCCAGGTCTCATCTCCCCCAGGGCTTACAGGGCCCCATGTCCCACCTAAGGCCAGGAGGCTCTCAGAGTGCAGAGACCAGCTCAGCGTGTAGGACTCAGTAGGTGTTTGTTCACTCATTCATTCATTCAACTATTGTTGGCACTGTGGACAAGTCAGACAGAACTCCCATCTGCCCCATCCCTTGATGGCCCTACCTTGAGCATGGGCTCCTGGTCCTGCAGGAAGATCTGCCGCCTCTTGGCGATGGTGGTGGTGCGGTAGAAGTCCACCAGCTCGTTCAGGGAGTTGAACTTCTCTTCCCACAGGAAGTACTTTCCCGAGGCTTCACGCAGCACCTTAAAGTGCTGCACCTGGTCCCCATAGCTGGGGGAGAGGACCCACAGCCGCCTCAGACCCCGCCTCCCTCACCCACTGCCCACAGCCAGGCTTTCTCTGGGTTCGATCTGGAGTGGAGTAGGGGAGGTATTAATAGAGAGACTCCATTGACCTGACTCCACATAAGAGCTGAGAGTTCCTCCTGGCATGGAATATGGGGTTCAAGGTGTGGGCTCTGGATCAGCCCATTTTCTTGCTGTGTGACCTTAGGCAAGTTACTTAACTCCTCTGAACCTCAGCTTCCTCATAATGCTAACATTTCCCTTAGGATAAGTCAGCAGGAAATGCTGGCTGTGGCTTGCTGACCACATGAAATGTCTCTTTCTGAGTGCTTCTCTTTCACATTTTGTCAACATCCCCCTCTACTTTAACAGTCTCCCCACATCCCTGCCCCTTCCCAGGCCCCACAGTCCCTTGGGAAGTGAGTCCTAAGCTCACCCTGACTAAGGACAAAGCCTGCTACTGTGAGAGTAACTCAGGATTTCCTTTCTTCACCTTCAAGAACCTTCTAGGAGCCAGGCACCAGTGGCTCACAGTCCCAGCTGCTGTCATCCTAACACACAGGAGGCTGAGCTCTGAGGATCATGGTTCAAAGCCAGCCTGGCAAGAAAATTCGTGAGACTCTTTATCACCAATTAACCACCAAAAAGCCAGAAGTTACTCAAGTGGTAGGGTTCCTCCCCACCAAAAAAAAAAAAAGGAAGGAAGGAAGGAAAGAAAACAAAAGCTTCTGTGGCTCCCGGGGACCTCATAAGGAAGTCTTAAGCAGAGCTAAGAACTGGTCTAATGGCACATCAGTCTCCTTTCCTTCACGTCTTCTGTGATGTAGCTCAGAGCCCTTCTCTTTCTCTCCATGTGCGCAGCCGCCAGCCCACTACTAACAAATTGTACTAAGTCCCTCCCTGTGCAACTGACGAGATAAATCACAGGTTTTCCGATTTGGCGGGCAGGTCAGGCTGTGCAGGGCCGGGGTGGAAGGGGGTGCTGGCATGGGAGTTCACTTCTGGGCGGCAGAGGTGTGGGTGGGCCTGCCTCACAGCCCAGGGCAGTGGGGAAACGGAGGCCTGAGTGCAACCAACCTGCTTAAGGACTCCCAGCCAGGAAGGTCAGGGTAGGAGCCATAGGGGAGTTCAGACATGCTGTGACGATCTCCCGATTGATTACTGGGGTGTGACAGAAGCAGTCATTATTCCTGTGATATTAACTGTGTCCCAGATCTCATTCCACGTCCAGATCCCTCTGTCCTGTTGTTCCTGGGCTGTGCCCCCATGAGGCGTGCCCACCCTCCTTCCCCGGGGCCTGGCTTCACCCCAACTGCCCTTCCCACATGCCCAGTCAGTCCCTCCCTGAGCCTTGGGTGCCTGTCTGGGAGACACAGTATGGCTGCCCCTCCTTGAAGCCAGGCAAAGGAGGCTGGGGCCGACCGGGGCCCGAGCAGGTGTCTAGACTTGCTGAGGAAAACACAGAACAGCCCCAGCACTCTATGAAGCAGGGCTTGCTTAGTATGTATGGACTCCTGTTCGGGTGGCTGGCGGGGCTGAGAGCCTGTGGTCTGGTCCAGTGTGGGCAGGCGCATAGTGAGAGAGGTGACTCCTTAGCCTCCTGAGCCACAAACCACAGCCTGTTGTGTTCACATTAGGGGCTCAGTGAGATCCGACCTCCGGTGTAGAGGCTGGCCGTCTCTACACGTAGAAGGCTGAGAATCCGAAGATCAAGGTTCAAGGCCAATAAGGGCAGAACTGTGTGAGGCCCCTTGTCAATGAAGGCTGGCCACGGCGGCGTGCCTGTGATCCCAGCTATGTGGGATTCCTAGCAGAGGCAGGCGGTGCTCAGTCTCACACTCTATCTCAATATTAACCAGGGCTGCACCGGGCTCTGGCAGCTCACGCCTGTGATCCTAGTTACTCAGGAAGCTAAGATCTGAGGATGGAGGTTAGAAGCCAGCCTCGGCAGGAAAGTCCTTGAGACTCTTCTCCCCAATTGATCACCAGAAAACCAGTAGTGAGGCTGTGGATCATGGAGTTGAACACCATCCTTGCATGGAAAAGCTAAATAATAGTGCCCAGGCCCTGAGTTCAAGTTCCATTACATACACACAGACGCACACAGAGGTACACTCCCCCCCCTCAGTGGCCAATGTGGACACTGCATTTACAAACCTGGGTACTCCCACAGCGTCAAGTCCCCTAAACCACAGGGCTACAGCCATCATCTCCACTGCCCAGCCCTGCTGCTCAGCCTGTCCACCCCCACCTTAGCTGGTCAGCCCTGGGGCTGGGCCACTAAACACGGAAGATAAAGATTTAAGATAACAGTAAACCAACGGTGACCGAGGACTCCCCCGTCCCTGCACACCTGGCTGAGTCAAGATGTCCAACGAACAACATTGTCTCCTCTCCATCCCTCCCCCTTCCTACCTTCAGGCACTCACCCTTTCCTCCAGAAACCACCTCCATTATCAGAGTTAGGGGTTCCTTGGGCCGCTCTGACCCACAAAGCCTTCTTGTTATCCACTGCTCATAATGACTCAAAGACTACCCATTAGAGAGGGGCTCTGGAAGGCCCCAGCCAGATGAGACCCAGAGAGTGGACAGTTAGCACCTACGCCGAATTCCTATCAGAACTTCGTTTCAGAAACGTCCATTGGGCCAGGTGCCAGTGGCTCATGTCTGTAATCTTAATTACTCAGGAGGCTGAGATCTGACGATCTCAGTTGGAAGCCAGCCTCTGGGCAGGAAGGTCCATAAGACTCTCATCTCTAATAAACTACTCAAAAAGGACCAGAAGTGGCACTGTGGGGCAAATGGTAGAGCGCTAGCCTTGAGCACAAAGAGGCTCAGAAACAGCACCCTGGCCCTGACTTGAAGCCCCAGGACCAGCAAAAAAAATAAAATGTATATATCTATATCTATATCTATATATTAGAATAAAATTTTTTTTGTCAGTCATGGGGCTTGGGCACTGTCCCTCAGCTCTTCAGCTCAAGGCTAGCGCTCTACCACTTGAGCCACAGCGCCACTTCTGGTTTTCTACTGGTTTATTGGACATAAGAGTCTCACAGACTTTCCTGCCCGGGCTGGCTTTGAACTGCAATCCTTGGATCTCAGCCTCCTGAGTAGTTAGGATTACAGGTGTGAGCCACGGGTGCCTGGCTTAGAATAATTTTTTCTTTCGGGGCTGGGAAGGTGGCTCAGTGGTAGAGCGCTTGCCTTGCATGCCTGAGGCCCTGGGTTCGATTCCTCAGCACCACATAAGCAGAAAAAAGCCGGAAGTGGCGCTGTGGCTCCAGGCCCAATCCCACAACCAAAACAAAAACAACAAAACCGGGACTTGTGCCAGGCCTGGCCTGTGCTCAGTGCATGGCAGGCCCTGTCCCCCCACCTGGCCCGTGCTTGCTGACCATGGCTGAGGAGGCTGGCTGGACAGCCGGGTGACGACAGACACAGGGCAGCCACACTGGCGTGTGCTCCACAGGAGGCAGCCGGAGCCTCCCTCACCACGAAGGATGGCCGTCCCGCGGCGGGGCCTGGAATGAGTATTGGAAGGCTCTGGCAGGATAGCAGGGCTCCCACAGCCTCTGGTCCCCGGGCTGGAGGCCCTGGCCTTCAGCTGTTGTCACCCGGGAGGTGTGACCCTGACCCCAGAGCAGACTGTGTGCAGACAGCCGAAAATCCAAGGACCCAGTGCTCACGGCGACCCGTCCTGCCTGGCGGGTTTTTCTGGAATGGTAGCAGGGGTGGGGGCAGCAGCAGGAGCAGCAGCAAAGGTGACTGGCAGCCCGGGGGGGGGGGGGGACAAGGAGAGGGGTGGGGGCAGCAGCCTGGGGACTCCCCTGGACCCACCCAGATGTCCATCTCCACCATGCATAGCTCTCTCCAGCCATAGGACCAAGGCGGGGACCTTGTACTGTAGCCAGGAAACTGAATGGAACTGGCTTTGAGACACAGTCAGGGGACACAGACCCCCAACAGATGTTTGGGTCTCAGGGAAGGGGGGTGGAAAGGCAGACCGGGCTAGTCAGGGCACAGGAAGTGGCATCTGTCCTGCTGTTCCTTGCTGTGGGGCCTTAGCCAAGTTACTGCACCTCTCTGAGCCTCAGTCTCCTTACCTACAAAGCGGGTTCCCTCCCCCTTGTCTGCATGGACAGCCGGGCCTGAAGTGGCACCATCCCTGTCCTGATGTGACCATCACAGCACAACACAAGAGCGCCTGTCACCCCAGGTTCCACGGGCCAGCTTGGCAGGACAGACACACGGACATTGAGACCCCATCAGCTAGCAAGGAAGGAAACCCCTCACTGGGGGACACACTGCCCCTGACCACAAGAGAGCCCTTGGTGGCCTGGCAGGAGTGTGGGCACGAGTTGGCAGTCCTGGCTCCTGTCCTGTCAGCTGCCAGCTCAGACCCGCCCCTGGGGAGTGGAGGGGGGCAGCCCTTTGTAAACTCGTAAAGAGCAGCTGGCTGTGACCACGGTTGCTGGGCAAGGCAGCCCGAGCCCATAAACCCACCTTTGACAGCTTTATGAGGCTTGGCAGGGGGTGTGGAGGGTGCCGCGCGTGGGGGTCAGAGTTCCCGAGGCCCAAGCCAGCCAGGGAAGAGAGCTCATACCCAGACAGACAGACAGCTTTCTCTGATGACCACCACCTCCCTGGGCTTCAGAGACTGCCTGGGGTCACACAGCAAGTCAGGGTGGGGCCTGGATGAGACAGGCTCCCAGCTTCCCCGGGGCTTTGTGTCTTGTCTGAGAGGCCTGGGGACGGGCTCGTAGCTTTCCACGCGTGCTGGTGGGTTCATGGCAGTTACTCCAGCAGCCATTGACCCCATTGATCGAACATGGGTGAGTGACTCAACTGATCTCAATGTAGACATCCTTTTTTGTTGTTGTTGGTCGTGGAGCTTGAACTCTGGGCCTGGGCGCTGTCCCTCAGCTCTTCAGCTCAAGGCGAGCGCTCTACCACTTGAGTCACAGCGCCACTTCCGGTTTTCTGGTTAATTGGAGATAAGACTCTCACAGACTTTCCTGCCTGGGCTGACTTTGAACCTCGATCCTCGGAACTCAGCCTCCTGAGTGGCTAGGATTACAGGCCTGAGCCACCGGTGCCCAGCTAGATGTTTGTTTTTTTTATAGATGGGGATAACTTGAGAATTAAAAACCTAGAATTACATAGCCAATAGGTATTGATCACAGTTCCCACACCCTAAACACATGTCCCTAGCCTCCGAGAGTCTTGGTTTTGCCCACTTACACCCTGCTGGGTAGTTTCTAAGACCCCCCCCCCCCCCACCTGTTCCCTGCTCTGTCTGGGAGAAACTGAGGGTCGAGAGCGCCATCTGGTGGTGCAGTGTACAAACCACAACCATTGAACTGGGAGCCTCCTCCATGCCATGGGGACACCTCTGGCAGAAGCTGAGGGGAAGCTGCCAGGGTCTCTGAGCACTGCTCTCCAGTCCCTGCCCAGGACACACTGGGCTGGGTCCCCTCTTTAAGACCTTCTAGCTGCTCCTGGTCAGTCTGCTGCTATCCACACAGACCTCTCTGTCTCACCCCTGGGTCTTGGCAGTTGTTTTGTACTTTTTTTCCTCTTGTACCTGGTATATCCTCTTTCCTAGTGTACCAAACTCCTATTCGTGCCTCAGGGCCCAGCCCACATATTACCCTGGTTCTGTGCTTTAACCTTGCCATATGACCACTATTGTGAATTTCCTTTATCCATCTGAACACCATGGAGACCATTGGGGCAGCTGTGGCCATTTCTCTTTCTATTTTTCTTTCCTCCCTCCTTCTCTTCCTCCCTCCCTTCTTTCCTTTTGCCAATTCTAGGGCGTGAACTCAGAGCCTGGGCACTGTCTCTTAGCTTTTTCACTCAAGGCTGGCACTCTACCACTTGAGTCACACCTCCACTTTTAGCTTTTGGCTGGTTAATTGGAGATAATCTCTCAGATTTGTCTGCCTGGGATGGCTGTGAAGCACAGTCCTCAGATCTCGGCCTCCTGAGTAGCCAGGATTACAGGCGTGAGCCACCAGTGTCCAGCTGTGTGTCAGTTCCTTGAGTGGTCCCGTGTCGCACCCTGAGTGTGGTTCACTCTGTGGTGTGGAAGGCTCTCCAGGGGAAGGCACTCAGGGCTGGTCATGTGAGAGCCGCAGGCCCAGCAGGGCTGGGGAGAGGCTGGGGCTGGGCTTCCTTGCATGAGATGGGCGGGTGGTAGGCCAAAACTCCCCTCTGCTCCCTGGCCCCCTCCCCTTGCTTGGTGGGTGACCTTAGGCTTTGGGGTTAGTTCCAGGAGCCTCTTGAAGCCCAGCCAGCCTGCCTGGCGGGCGCCATTCCCAAGAGATGGCCAGGCCCTGGGCAGTGGTACTGGAATAGAGCCACTTCCTGCCTCTGGGAAAGCAGCTCTGGGGTCTGCAGGGACTGTGGTGAGGGACAGGAGATCCGTGGTGACTCCAGCTGCCCCCCGGCCATCCTGGGGACAGGTCAGGGCTTCCTCCCCACACATGCTGGCTGTGCCTGTATTTTTAAGAAGGGGAATGAGGAGACAGGCCCAGAGAGGGTCACGTGCTCTCCCCCACCCCCCATGACCAGCTTCCCCAGAGGAAGGGGAAGCCATGACTCATGGCTGTTTGCACAGCTCAGGGACAGCAATCCAGAGTGCCGGTGGCTCACGCTGCAAACCTGCTGCAAGCCTCTCCTCCCAGATCCTTATTCCTGGGCCTCTGGAAGCCTCCATCTCCTGGTTCAACAGCCTTCCCTGACCACCCTGTGTTATTTGCTGGTTCTCTGTCACCTGGCTGAGACATACACCCACAAAGACCACTCTGTTTCCCCAGCTCCCAGTGCAGGGCCCAGCCCTGACCTATCTCCCCACCCCACCCCTGCTCCCCCATGCCTCTGGAGCCGCCCCTCGCAAACAGACATATCCCATCATGGCCACCCTCCCTCAACGCTAGGAACCCGAGCCAACGGAACCCCCTTGCTTTGAGTGTCTTAACCCATGTATTCCTTCCCACTTCACACATGAAGACAGGGCTCAGAGAGGCCAAGCCCTTCACCCAAGGTCACACAGCCAGAAGTAGAAGCCAGGCTCTCCTGTTCTGGGGGCGGGTCCTCTCCATAGCATTGCTGTAGGGTGGGGACAGCCGCCCTTGTCTTCCCTGCCCCCCTCCCTCAGTGCGCTCACTCTCCCAGCTCCCCCACCCCCAGGCGCAGGCTCACTTCACAGACACGGAGAACTCCCCCGGGGAGCTCTCGCTCTCCCGGATCAGGAAGGCGCCCAGCTGGTCCCTCTGCATCAGGATCTCTTCAGCCAGCTGCCGAGAGATCCGGCCCGAGTACCACCTGTGGGGGCGGGGGACGTGCTGGGGCTGGGACAGGTTATGGGGATTCCCCTCACACCACCCAGCCTCCACACCACCCAGCCTCCACACCACCCAGCCTCCACACCACCCAGCCTCCACACCACCCAGCCTCCACACCACCCAGCCCTCACACCACCCAGCCTCCACACCACCCAGCCTCCACACCACCCAGCCCTCACACCACCCAGCCCTCACACCACCCAGCCCCCACACCACCCAGCCCTCACACCACCCAGCCCTCACACCACCCAGCCTCCACACCACCCAGCCTCCACACCACCCAGCCTCCACACCACCCAGCCCCCACACCACCCAGCCCTCACACCACCCAGCCTCCACACCACCCAGCCTCCACACCACCCAGCCCTCACACCACCCAGCCCTCACACCACCCAGCCTCCCACACCACCCAGCCTCCACACCACCCAGCCTCCACACCACCCAGCCTCCACACCACCCAGCCCTCACACCACCCAGCCTCCACACCACCCAGCCTCCCACACCTGAACCAAGGGAGGCCTCACTGCACCTATTTTCACAGGTGGGGGAAACTGAGGCACCAAGGGGCAATGCGAGCCGCCCAAGATGGCTGCTGAGCGCCTGAGCTTGGGACCCTGACGCTGGTGTCCTCCCCAGCAGGGGCCGTGGCAGTTGGGGTGGCTAGGAGGGGAGCTGCACCCCACCCCGCCCCACCTCTGCAGCTGGGCCTGCACGGGGGTTTCCTGAGAGGCCCTACGTCTCCGAAGAACCCACAAAACCCCACCAAACTCCTAGAAGATGTCAGTGCGGGGGCGGCTGGCACCCTGAGGTGGCACCGTTGCACACCCCAAGGGGGCCCTGCCCTGCCCCCCAACAAGGAAGATGGGGTGAGGAAAGCACCCCAAAATACCAGTGCCAGCCTCCTTTTCTACCTTATCTGTCTCTGTCTCTGTCTCCTCTCTTTTGCCAGTCCTGGGGCTTGAACTCAGGACCTGGGTACTGTTTCTGAGCTCCTTTTGCTCAAGGCTAGCACTCTACCACTTGAGCCATAGTGCCATTTCCAGCTTTTTCTATTTATGTGGTGCTGAGGAATCGAACCCAGGGCTTCCTGCATGCCAGGCAAGTGCTCTACCACTGAGCCACCTTCCCCAGCCCCCTTATGTCTCCTTTACCAACGTGGAACTTGAAGCCCAGAGAGGGGCAGCGACCCCTGAGATGCTGCACAGGGACCATGGCTCTCCCAGAATCCCCCTCACCCCTCCCAGCCAAGTACACACAGGGCCAGCGCCTCCCAGCTGCAGTTCCGCTCTGCCTCCTGCCTGCTGTGTGACCCAGGACCAGTCACTGAGTCCCTGTGCCGGTCTCCTGGTCTGTAGGCAGTGCCCTAGCCTCACCTCACGGCCTGAGAGGCCCTGAGAGCTGCTGCTACCGGTATCTGCATGCACCCCTCCTGTCCTCTGCAAAACCCAGACGGGACTGGGTGTCTGACGCTTTCGCTCATTGGCCGTTGCTCTACCATCTGAGCCACGCTCCCAACTCCTCCCTGGAACTCTTCTCCCTTGACCTCCAGGCCCAGTGGCCCATACCCTTCTCTAGGAAGCCCTCCCTGGTCAGTTAGCTGGTCACGAGCCTCCTTGCTCCAGGGGACAGGTCTGGGAGCACTGGGTCTGCACCACCGGCTCCCAGGGGCAGTGGGGTGACAGTGGGGCTCAGCAGGAGTGGGCCCGGCTTGGCGCACGCGCACGGCCTGCTGGGACTCAGCCCTCTGGGACTGAGTCAGCTGGAGTTTCCTGGAAGCAGAGTCCTGCCAGGCCCCTAACAGCTGCTGTGGCCTGAGCCTCGCCCTGCTACCTCCTGCACCAGTGGCCACAGCATCGAGGCCCCCACTGCTGGCATCCCCTGGAGGACGCCTCTGGTCTGAGCTTGGGGGTCTCAGCAACGTCCCACTGGACAGGGTCCTTGGGCCTCCAAATGAGCCTGGAGCCCAGCACAGTGGCCCTGGACCAGCTGCACCCAGCACAGGAAGCCGGGGGCGGGGGCAGTTTTGGAAACAACCCAAAGAAAGATAAAGAGGAAATACCCTCCTCGGGCCCCACCTGGGCCTGCGCCTCCTGCCCCGGCTTCAGCCCTGTCACCGGCCCGCACGCCTCCCTGCGTCCTCTTCTCTGGCTCCTCCATGGCTCCCTACAACCCCCCCCCCCCCCCCCCCGGCCTGGCCTCTAAGACCCCTGCCATGAATTCTCTCTCTACTCTCCCTTGGCTTTTCCTGGCCTTCCCTTGTTTTCTAGTTCTTTCTGCTATCCAGCCAACTCCTGCACATCCTTCAAAGCCTCACTCCTTACCGCCTCTCGCTTGCCTTGGTTAGTCACCCCAGTGCTGTCTCTCCACACAGCGTCTCTGTTACTGCTAACAGGACAAGGCTGTGCTGGCCCCTCTGTCCCCTGCACTACCCACGTGGGGGTCCCCGGTGACTGTGCAGTGCCCTGGCTGTCATTTAAAACCTATGCAGCTGCGGACTGGTAGCTCAGCCACTCAGGAGGCTGAGGTCTGAGGAACATGGTTCAAAGCCAGCCTGGGCAGGAAAGTTCGTGAGACTCTTCTCTCCAGTGAACCTCTAGAAAACTGGGAGTGGAGCTGTGGCTCAAGTGGTAGATTGCATGCCTTGAGTGAAAAAGCTCAGGGAGCGCACCCAGGTCCTGAGTTCAAGCCCCATGACCGACAAACACAACCCCCCCCAAGCCTATCCCGCTGGTTTCATGGATTTCTCGATGCCACACTGTCAGGGCAGCAGTGTGGAGTGCCACCCGCTGAGGACGCGGCCTGCAGCCTGCCGGGGCCAGCAAGTCCCGGGATACCCAGGTGGACACCCCACTCCCCCGTCCTAGCCTCTGCTCCCGCCAGCGGGGGACACAGCACCCAGGGGACCTCGGGGGTACTCACGGGTGGGGCTTGACACGGATGTAGTTCTTGGGAACGAAGCCCTCTGCCCCCCGGAGCTCGGCCTTGTACCAGTTCTGGTCATCCTCCATGTTTAAGATCTGAGGGGAGGGGAGACAGCCGCTGGTCACCAAGAGGGATAGCTGGCCCCTGCACGCCCCCCCCCGCCCCGCCCCCCTGCAGACCCGTGGGGGGGGCATCAGTAGCAGATCTAGGGCCTTTTGATGTGAGTGGGGGGGAGGGGTTCTCACATCTGCCTACCACACAGCCTCTGGTGAGGAGCGCAGCCCCAGCCCGGCCCAGGTGCTGTGTCCCAGGTCACCTCCAGCCCCGCCACGCAAGGTAGGCTAAGAGGAACCGAGATGCATCACCAGAGTGGGGGTGGAGGTCGCTGGGGTGAGACACTGGGGGCTGGGGGAGAAACAGGCCCGACCTGGAAAAAACTACTGTCCCCCCTCTAGCCTGAACCCCGCTACCCCAGCCAGATGGAGCCCTTCTTTCCTGTCCTGAGCCTGAGCCAGGCTGGCCGGCCCATCCCAGTGACAGATAGAAGTGGGTAGCTGAAAAAAACCAAGTCCTTGCACTGGTCGGGTGAGGAATGGGGCCTGCGGGCTGCCTGCCACAGGCTCCTGGAAGATGCCCTGGGTGGGCCGGACCCGTCCCCTGCCCCACTCCGCCTGTGCCCTGAGCTCCGTGCCCTCATCTGTCAGGTGGACACGGCTAGGGCCACAACAACCTGGGTCCTGCCATGTCCAACCTCACCGTCCTGATCCTGTCTCTTCCACTTGGAATCCAGAAATGTCCTTGTGGTAACCTTAGCTGAACTGTGTGTGTGTGTGTGTGTGTGCATGTGTGCGTGCATGCGCGTGCGTGCGTGCATGCATGCATGCCCTGGTCCTGGAGTGCACTGTTCCTGAGCTTTTGTGCTCAAGGCTGGCTCTCTACCACTTGAGTCACAGCTCCACTTCCAGTTTTTTGGTGGTTACTTGGAGATAAGGGTCTCATGAACTCTCCTACCCAAGCTGGTTTTGAACTTCGATCTTCAGATCTCAGCCTCCTGAGTAGCTAGGATTACAGGTACGAACCACCAGTGCCTCCACCTGGCATTCAGTTTTATCTAAGCTGGGCTCCAACTCCAGCAGCAGCAGCAGCAGCAGCAGCAGCTCTCCGCTGCTTTCCTTCCTTCCTGTGCTCAGTTTACATGAATCAGAAGGCCACAGAGCTTATTTTGTTTCTTGCTTGCTTGCTTTGAGCTGGAAGCTCACTAGGTAGCTCAGGCTGGCCTCGAGCTCCTGGACTCAAGTGATCTTCCCACATCAGCCTTCCAAGAGCTGGGACTCTGGGCGAGTGCTTGCTTTTGTGTCTGGGCAATATCTATTGCCTGTCCTTCACAGCCATACCTGGCCCTCGCCCACGTTGTACGAGTGTACCTGTCAGTGGGGCGCCATTGGCTCACACCTGTGATCCTAGCTACTCAGAGGCTGAGATCCGAGGGTCACAGTTCAAGGCCAGTCTGGGCAAGAGAGTCTGTGAGACTCCACTCATCTACACACACACACACGCACAGCCATAAGTGGAGCTCAAGTGGTAGAGTGCTAGCCTCAAATACAAAAAGCTCAGGGAGAGTACCCAGGCCCAGAGTTCCAGCCCCAGGACCAGTACCAAAAACAAACAAAAAGCAGTATACATTTCCCACTTCCTTAACAATTTTGGAGATTGTCAGGTCCAGTGTGGCTGCCCAGGGAAATGGAAAGGTGTGGCTTGCTTCCTCTTTCTTTAGGAGTGTCTCTGGTCCTGTCTGTGGCCTATTTTCCTCTCCTGTGGTTGTGATTTTCTTGTAGACCTAGCCCTTGAGCTATGAAGACATGATTTCGTCTTTCTTTCCTTCATCTAAGCTTCCCTCGGTCA